AAGTGTGTTTTATACTATTAAGTCTGCTTGGGTTATAAAGTGATGAATTGTAAACTGAGCTTATGGTGAACATTTATCTATTAATTCAAATTTATGAAGGTTTATTTAATTTAGACAATCTATTTAATTAATTAAAACCAGTTCACTTCATGTTCACCAATTAAATAGTCACAGCTTGCTCATTGTATGATCAGCATCTACTGGGTCTAGCAGCTTGGGTAGAATTAAATTCTTAATTTGACATGAACTCAATCTTTACAGCTTGGGTTAGGAATTTCATTTCATAACATTAATTTCAAAGAAAGAGGAGTTCACTTTGTAGTAGAAGCTTGGGTGACAAACTGTAAGAGGAATATAGTATAAATCAGGGGCTCCCTGCCTACTATCCTCACAATCTTTTTGGCTTTCATTTGGCTTAGAGATATATATTTTGGCTTGCTTTTTTGCTTAGTGCTTTTTTTAGTGCTTTACTGTAAATATTTATTATTTATTATTAGACTAGTGCTTTCATTTTTGTTTTGTATAGAATTTTGTTTTATTTCTTTGATTTTTTTCTGTTAGGGTTTTTTGGGTGAAAGTTAGGATTTTTATGCATTGATCATGGCTTATCCATGTGGTAAATGTGGGGAGGAATGTAGTGGGGTTAGGGAAGTAGCTTGTGACTCATGTCAACTTTGGTTTCACCAAAATTGCGAGTCCATCAGTAACTCTGATTTTCAATTTCTGAAAAAATGCCCCCTTTCATATATTTGTTCCATATGTTGTACCCAACCTGATGGCTCATTCAACTTTGATTTGGCTCTAAAACGTTTAGGCAATGCTCCACAACAACAAATGGGACGGCTCTTATGCCACATATTGTGATTTTTTGTCAAAAATTAGGTCTGCCCTAGGTTTTCATTTAGACTGTGAAAAAATTATTTTTGGCACAGATGAGGAAACTGCACTCATCAATGCAATTAAAACAAGTTTTCCAAATTCGGAGCATATTCTCTGTGTTCGGCATTTGCAGGAAAATGCTCAAAGAAATCTTCTGAAAAATAATGTTCCTGAAAAAACAAGGAATAGTGTCATCCAATCACTTTTTTCAAAAACAGGTCTGCTCAGTGCAGAAGACAGGGTTACTTATTTGGAAAGGGAACAAGAGATTTTGGAGGAATTTGCAAGTTCATGTGGGGCTTACTTATCAGATAAACTGCTTCCCATTCTGAAAACCAAAGTTTTTGAACCAAGGTTAAAACAAAAAAACATCCCTCTTCTTTGGAAAAACAACAACTGCGAAAGCATGAATTCAAAATTCAAAATTTTAGGGGATTGGAGGGTTTCAAAATTACCACAGTTAGTAGATTTGATCAAAGAAATTCATGACAATCAGCTTTTGGACATCAGGGGGGCTCTGCATGGTAGGGGGAACTATGAACTTGCAGAATCTTTTAAACATCTTTTCATTTTTCATTCTGCTTGGCTAGCAATGACAAATGAGCAACGCACCAAATTTTTAGTTAAATTTTTTAAATACCAAAACCAGTCCAAACTTCAAACTTCAGGCGATGCTCTTTTGACAATTCCAACCACCAACCGTATCGCCAAAAAACCTGGTCAAATCAAAAGAGTAAGAACAGCAAAAACTTTAACCATTCCTAATAAGAAACCAAAGTACCCAGGGGGAGACTGCTAGGTTAGGATTTCAGATGAGGAACAGATATAGATATGCAAACCAGTTATTATTATTTTTTTTTTTTAATTTTTTTTTTTTGATCATTTCTGACCTTCTTACCTCCTCCGCTTGACGGTTGTGCAGGTAGATGTGTTAGTTTAAATGACAATTATTTCTAACCATCTGAATCTCCTCCGCTTGACGGCTGTGTAGAGAGATGTGTTAGCTCTTTTTCCTTTTTCATATGTTGTACATAGGCATGCCAAAATATATATGTTAAATTATTATTTAAGAAAAAAATTCAAAAAAAAAAACAAAAACAAAAACAAAAAAAAAAATAAATAAAAGGATCCTGTAAAGAACCACGTCCACGTCGTAGGATCTGGAAACATAGTTATGAATTCAAGAAATATAAAAATTAATAAAAATTAATCAGAAATGCAGAAATATTGAGTTCACAACTATGGCTAAGAGTTCTTTTTTTATTTACAATATATTACAATAATGTAATTCATTTTTAATTTAATTTAAAAAATTATTACTATCAATTCATAAATTATAATTTTCTACAATTAGTGCTCTATTTTTATTTTATTTTATTATAATATATTCAAGAAAAAAAATTCATCTTCTATGAAAAAAACAAAAACAAATAGGAAATATTCTTTGGCTGATTTTGTACATTGACACTTCAACAAGAGTTATCGTTCTTGCGCTAGTTCGTTTTGGAGAAAAAATAGTTCCTCATACCGAGCTCCAAAAACACTGTTTAAAACGTATTTTTATAAATTTTTTTTTGATATATTTTATATTTAAGACATGCTGAATAAGATTATCATATCAGATTTCATATATATATCCCCAATTTTTGTAGGTCTTCCGTAGGTCTTCCGTAGGTCTTCATTTACCTGTAGGTCTTCAAATAGGCATTCCCCTATAATTGACAAGAGAAAAGGTAAGTTTATTCGATTAGTATTTATCTATTGCTGGGTTCTTGTTTAAGGAAAATCGATTTTAATGTAATTTTGAAAACAATTGTGCACAAAATTAAAATAGATATATCGGACCAATTAATCCTAAGTTGCACTTGTATGTATTTTGAATTTTCTCTGTCTTTTTATCTCTCTTGAGGGCGAGAAGTATTTAGTAAATGATCGTATATTGTTAGATAATCTATAATAAATCGAAAGTGTTAATTATTGAATTTTATATCATAACCAACTAAGTATGTTCTGGCAATGTATATTGGAAAGGGAAATGAAAATTTTAACAATCGTGTGTTCATAAATCAGCTGTAAATTATCGGTTCATGTAGACAGTATTACAATCGCAAAGTGAGCTGAGATGATGATAAATGGGATAATTGACAACAACTAAATAATTGTATGTAAGTTTATCTCATCTGATATGTAAGAGATTCATTGCATTACTGAAAAACGTTCAGTCAAAACAGTGCTTTTTTCTGTCTTTGATTTTGAGTGTTTGCTTTATTTTGATTTTTTTTTATTATTGTTTTTGGCATTTGTTATAATTGATTTAAAACAATGCTGAAATTGATATAGGGCTACTATAACTATTTCACAGGATGGGTGTGTAATTAGAATCGAGCTACATTTATGTGAATTGATATAATTAATGCTTACTTGTGATTTTAGGATAACTGGAGATAATGATTCCTTTTTTCCATTGATATTTCATAAATATTTTCCTAAGTATTATGGTACAATAAATTGGTTTTAAATTAGATTTTTTTATATAAGTAATCAATAATTGCAATGGAAATTAAAATCATAATCATGTTCATTGAGGATTTTCAATATGTAACAGGTCAAACAGGAACTTCAGTTGTGAACATTGCAGAGAACACACTCATCAGAAGATGACCCTCAGAAATAGGACAATTGTAAGTAATCAGTAAAATGATCAGGAATACTCCATGACAACTACATGTATAAGATTTGAGACATTTTCTCTTCTTAAATTAGAAGGAAAAACTTGTACATACTACATAACTACTAGGCAACCAACCTTTAACGGCAGGAAAGCTTTTGGTATGTGCAATACAACAACATTTAAACTTCTTTAGTATTCATGTTGAGTTTGAGAAAGTACCTTAGTATTTTTTCTAGTGTTTGCCAACATTTTCATGCACACTGTTTGCTTGTTTGTACTAACATTTTATTTTATATTCTTCTGACGCCCTTTACCTTTGCCAGTTTTGAATCATTTGTTTTAAGGGCGTCTGAGGGTTGGTTCCAGAACTTAATTAATTGAAAAGTAAATACCGGGGTACTATTTGGTCATAGGTTATGTTAATACGTGTATAACATTTTGTTCTGATAGAGGTGGCATACAGGAAAAGAAACAATACTAGATATCACTTCAAAGGAATAAAATAGCTTCATCTTGTAGGTGTATTTTATTTAAGGATCACTACTTCATGTCTGATGTGGTGTAAGTAATTCATATCTGTTTGACTGTAATTTTTCATATTTTCAACTTCTATCCAGCTTAGTCAATTTTTATTAAATTTTGTGCAAAGCATACCCCAGGAAGGGGGGGGGGGTGGAGTGTCAAGTGTGTCTCTGTTTCTGTCAATATAATTTCAAAGCAGTTAGTAAGGTTTGGGTCAATTTTAAATCCTCTTTAGCAGGGTTAAGTGTAGAGATGTTTTTGAAGATTATGGACCCCTAATGTACTGATAGTGTTACATAAGTCTAAAATTTGCAAGGAATAGTTGGAAAATCTTTTTAAAATCTCCTTCTTAACAATCAGAAACTAACAAACTGTCTAATTAAATTGCAACATCGTTTTGTGTGTTGAATGATGATTCTATTTTGATAAAATTATGGCAGATGGGGGGTAGGATGAAGATGCAGTTAGACATAGAAGAAACAAAAAAGAGTTGATGGAATTTAGTTTTTCTTCCATTTTATTTATCAATACATATTTCTGAATAAGAAATATACTTTTACTTCTTGGTTGGGTTTGATTAACATAAAGGGTGATCTTACTGTAGTCAAGAAAAACATGTTTTATACAGCAAAGAAATGCCTTTATCTAATTGCAGAATGAATTAAAAGGACAGAGGCAGATTTGAAGGAGATGCATGAAATGAGGAATTTTTCAAAAATTGCCTGAGCATAACCACTACTACTGGATAAACATATGGCAATATAAAAAGCAGAGTCAATGGAGGTATCATGCGGTATAGGCCATGAGAGACCCTGAAGAAGAGAGTATGGAAGAGAAACAAAAATAAAACCTTTTTGACATTTATTGAAATATAGGATCAAAGCCTTACATCTAAAATTTGGGCATGTAATGACTTTTCTCTTGCTCTAAGACTTATAACAGTGATGATTTGGTTTAATATTTTTATCCCGATTTGTCGAATAGATTTGGACATAGTGCATCAATTATTTTAAAGTTTTGATATTACAAATTCATTCATTGTACTTGTAACTGAGTTTTCTGGTGCAACACTGTTTAATCGGCTTCAAAACTAAGTTTGTGATTTCCAAACCAGACTAATGAGATACATGTAATATCTTTTAACATCGGTGACTATTAAATCCATTCTTTTAAATCTCAGAAGTATTTTTATTATCACAGGGAAAATATGCATTGTACATGTATCTGTAATAAACAGGATTATAGAAATTTACCATATAATACAACACAATCTTAGCAACTGAAGGCAAACATTTTATCAAGGGTGTGATCTATTTATCAATATGGTTTTCAGCATCTTGCTCTACCTGTAATGACTTGCTCCAAGTTCCAATATTTAAATTTATATTTTGCAAACATGGTTATAAAATTCTTTAAAAGCCAAATACTTTAGGTACAAAATGCTTATATATTTCCTATCATTTGTAAAGTGTACACTGAATGAGATGTGGAATGTTAGAATTTAAGTATTAAATATGTTTTGGACTTATGTATGCTTATGCCGATAAATTTGAATTCAACTAGGAAAGGTAAATGTCATACTTATTGGGTTTGCAATCTAATGCAAGAGTATAAATATATAAGACAAATTTGACAATTTTAATGAAGGGTATAAGTAATCCAAGAAGAATTGGACAAGTAAACATTGCATGTTGGGTTTTATTCTAATGTTGGGATGTAATATCCAAGAGGAGTTGAACCAATGTCCAATTCCTATTGGGTTTTCTTTCTTGTGAAAAAAATTTTGAGTAACCCAAGAAGAATGTCCAATACCTTTTAATCTGTATACTATTGAAGGCTTGAAGATATCCAAGAAGAATTGGACAGGTGTCCATTACATGTTGGGTAGTATTCTTATGAGGAGATTCTCAAGAAACCCAAGAATAAGACAAGTGTCCATTGCCTGTTGGGTGGGATGTAGATATCCAATAGGAGTTGGACGGATGTCCATTATTTGTTGGGTGGTATTCTGATGAAACAATTCAAGAAACTCAAGAAGAATTGGACAAGTGTCCATTACCTGTTGGGTGAGATGTAGTTATCCAAGAGGAGTTGGACAGGTGTCCATTACCTGTTGGTTTGTATTTTGATGATGCAATTCAAGAAACCAAAGAATTAGACAAGTGTCCATTGCTTGTTGGGTGGGATGTAGATATCCAAGAGGAGTTGGACAGATGTCCATTACCTGTTGGGTGGTATTCTGATGAAACAATTCAAGAAACCCAAGAAGAATTGGACAGGTGTCCATTACCTGTTGGGTGGGATGTAGATATCCAAGAGGAGTTGGACAGATGTCCATTACCTGTTGGGTGGTATTCTGATGAAACAATTCAAGAAACCCAAGAAGAATTGGACAAGTGTCCATTACCTGTTGGGTGAGATGTAGATATCCAAGAGGAGTTGGACAGGTGTCCATTACATGTTGGGTAGTATTCTGATGAGGGGATTCTCAAGAAACCCAAGAATAAGACAAGTGTCCATTGCCTGTTGGGTGGGATGTAGATATCCAAGAGGAGTTGGACAGGTGTCCATTACCTGTTGGGTTGTATTTTGATGAGGAGATTCAAGATACCCAAATAGAATTGAATAATGTACACATGTTCAATTGTTCTTGGGTAGTTTATTCCTTTCGTCAAAATACAACCCAACAGGTATTGGACACCTGTCCAATGCCTATTGGATACCTTCATTCTGCCCAATATGTAATGGGTATTTGCTTATTATTAATTGGTAATGACTCAAAAATGTTTCCTTAAATACTTATTTTCTTTATTTAAGAAAGGTTGAACAGGGTCTGAGATATGTTGAGTTGTTTTTACACAATTCAGTTTTTTTTTTGCACTCAGGTATTCATATATTTTAATATTTAGATATTTTGAAATATACAGGTGTATATCCTTATTGCTAAGAACAAATTAGTTAGGTGTTACAATAAAAGAGCTACATGTATATCACATAAATTGACAAAAATATGGGTTCAAAACAAAACGTTTTCAGTCTTGTCTGAATTCACCGGCAAATATTAAATATATAATAAATTTGGAATGAATAAAAAACAATAAGAAAAAACCCAATAAAATACGGACACAAGGATTACTATCCAATAAGATTTGAACAGTAACTACCCAAATAATGCCCTCTCGTGTGTACACTTTTTTTGTATCCAATAAGCAGTATCCAATAGGACTTGGACTTGATGTACCCAATATATAACCAAATGTGTGTCCGTCCGTCCGTCCGTCCGTCTGTCTGTCTGTCCGTCTGTAAACTTTTCACATTTTCGACTTCTTCTCAAGAACCACTGTGCCAATTTTGACCAAACTTGGTACAAAGCATCCTTGGGTGAAGGGGAATTTAAATTTTTAAAATGAAGGGACATATCCCCTCGCAAGGGGAGATAATCAAGAAAAGACAAAAATAGGGTTGGGTCATTAAAAAATCTTCTTCTCAAGAACCACTGGGCCAGTAAAGCTGAAACTTATGTGGAAGCATCCTGGGGTAGTGTAGATTCTAAATTGTTCAAATCATGACCCCCGGGGGAAGGGCGGGGCCACAATGGGGAATCAAAGTTTTATATAGAAATATATAGGAAAAATCTTTGAAAATCTTCTTCTCAAGAACCACTGGGCCAGAAAAGCTGAAACTTATGTGGAAGCAACCTGGGGTAGTGTAGATACTAAATTGTTCAAATCATGACCCCCGGGGGAAGGGCGGGGCCACAATGGGGTATCAAAGTTTTACATAAAAATATATAGGAAAAATCTTTGAAAATCTTCTTCTCAAGAACCACTGGGCCAGAAAAGCTGAAACTTATGTGGAAGCATCCTGGTATAATGTAGATTCTAAATTGTTCAAATCATGACCCCCGGGGGAAGGGCGGGGCCACAATGGGGAATCAAAGTTTTATATAGAAATATATAGGAAAAATCTTTGAAAATCTTCTTCTCAAGAACCACTGGGCCAGAAAAGCTGAAACTTATGTGGAAGCATCTTGGTATAATGTAGATTCAAAATTGTTCACATCATGACCCCCCGGGGAAGGGCGGGGCCACAATGGGGAATCAAAGTTTTACGTAGAAATATATATTGGATAAATCTTTGAAAATCTTCTTCTCAAGAACCACTGGGCCAGAAAAGCTGAAACTTATGTGGAAGCACCCTGGGGTAGTGTAAATACTAAATTGTACAAATCATGACCCCCGGGGGAAGGACGGGGCCACAATGGGGTATCAAAGTTTTACATAGAAATATATAGGAAAAATCTTTGAAAATCTTCTTCTCAAGAACCACTGGGCCAGAAAAGCTGAAACTTATGTGGAAGCACCCTGGGGTAGTGTAAATTCTAAATTGTACAAATCATGACCCCCAGGGGAAGGGCTGGGCCACAATGGGGTATCAAAGTTTTACATAGAAATATATAGGAAAAATCTTTGAAAATCTTCTTCTCAAGAACCACTGGGCCAGAAAAGCTGAAACTTATGTGGAAGCATCCTGGTATAATGTAGATTCTAAATTGTTCACATCATGACCCCCGGGAGAAGGGCGGGGCCACAATGGGGAATCAAAGTTTTATATAGAAATATATAGGAAAAATCTTTGAAAATCTTCTTCTCAAGAACCACTGGGCCAGAAAAGCTGAAACTTATGTGGAAGCATCTTGGTATAATGTAGATTCTAAATTGTTCACATCATGACCCCCGGGAGAAGGGCGGGGCCACAATGGGGAATCAAAGTTTTACATAGAAATATATATTGGAAAAATCGTTGAAAATCTTCTTCTCAAGAACCACTGGGCCAGAAAAGCTGAAACTTATGTGGAAGCATCTTGGTATAATGTAGATTCTAAATTGTTAAAATAATGACCCCTGGGAGAAGGGTGGGGCTACAATGGGGAATCAAAGTTTTTTATAGAAATATATAGGAAAAATCTTTGAAAACCTTCTTCTCAAGAACCACTGGGCCAGAAAAGCTGAAACTTATGTGGAAGCACCCTGGGGTAGTGTAGATTCTAAGTTGTTCAAATCATGACCCCCGGGGGAAGGGCGGGGCCACAATGGGGTATCAAAGTTTTACATAGAAATATATAGGAAAAATCTTTGAAAATCTTCTTCTTAAGAACCACTGGGCCAGAAAAGCTGAAACTTATGTGGAAGCATCCTGGTATAATGTAGATTCTAAATTGTTCAAATAATGACCCCCGGGCGAAGGGTGGGGCCACAATTTGGAATCAAAGTTTTATATAGAAATATATAGGAAAAATCTTTGAAAATCTTCTTCTCAAGAACCACTGGGCCAGAAAAAGTGAAGCTTATATATATAGAAGCATTCTAGGGTAGTGTAAATTCTAAATTATAGGAATCGTGACCCCCGGGGGAAGGGCGGGGCCATTATAGGGAATCAAAGTTTTACATAGAAATATATAGGAAAAATCTTTGAAAATCTTCTTCTCAGGAACCACTGGGCCAAAAAAGCTGAAACATATGTGCCCATGGAAGGATCATGGGTTAGTGTAGATTTCAAAATGTCTAAATTATGATCAGTGGGGTAGGGTGGGGATGCATTATGTATAACAAGGGGGAAATCTGGTAAAGAACAGAATGGTCAAAGCTTCTCAGGTGAGCGATGTGGCCCATGGGCCTCTTGTAAAAATGAGTTATATGTTTGCTATGAGATAGCCACAGGTTTTGAAGAGGTCTCAGATTTTTCAGAGTACCATTCACAAAACATTGTTTAATATATTCTATAGAAATAAAATACATCAAGTGAGATGTAATTTATTATTTTTTTGTTCTTGGAATACACTTTCAGATGGATATTAGATTAATTTCTTTCACTTTAACTGATGCACTGGTACTTCTTTGATATTTATAGTAAAATCCTGGGCTTCTGGTGAAGACGATCACTTTGTGGCCAGAGCAGAGTTTGATTTTAATGGAAGTGGTGAGGAGGAACTTTCCTTTAGAGCAGGACAACTCATCAAAGTAGCCCCTAAAGGTAAGCATGAAAGTAGGCTTAAAATGAAACAAAAGGTAAACATGAAAGTAGCCTCAAAATGTAACTAAAGGTAACCATGAAAGTAGCCTCAAAATGTAACTTCGTTTTGATGTCACGACTCACAAAACAGATTTTTTTTTTACATTTCATACTACTTGTGAAAATATAGTTATATACTAGTAAAAGAAATCCCAGTCTCACTCGTGAAATAATTTCAATATCCATCTCCAAATCATTGAATATCCTCTGTAATGTAACTTCTAAAGGTTCAGCAAAACTGGATTTCTGGATTATTTCTAGGTACTTCTGGGTAACATGGTAACATGGAACTTTATGTTTGTCCACTTTGTAAAAGTATTCTGTTTAAATAGTGGTCACTATGAGTTAATTTGCCATGTTCATACAGGTTAATAAAGTGTTAAAGAAGAAATAATGAAGAAAGTTAGTAGATACAGTATTTTTTTTTCTTGATGAGGAAATGTATAAACCTGTATCTTAATTTTCAGAAATTCAGCCAAGAATGAGGGGCTGGCTATTGGCATCAGTAGATGGACAGAAAGTGGGCATCATTCCCGCAAATTATGTCAAAGTCCTGGGGAAGAAGAGGGGTACAAAACATCAGACACAGTCCGTCCCCTCAAACACAGGTGTCCCTCCAGCCACGGCAGTGACCAGTGCCTCCACCCCCGATCTGTTGTCAGGGACAAGTACCTGTTGTAAAAAGACAGGTGCTCAGTCATCCAATTCAGAAAATGTACCGATAAAACCAGCTGCAAGTGCTCCGTGCCTGGACAGTGTTAATTCTTTAGAAGTGGAAAACAATTCTTCATTTTCTAATTTAGAGGATGCTTTCTCAAATGATTCAAATTCAGGAAGCAAATCCAATAGTGAACCAGAAAATATGAATGCCAAGGATATTTTGGAAGCCACGGACAATAACTTGATAAATTGAAATGTTACATTTTCATTTTAATTTTAGATTAATAATAAGTGATGGTGATAATTTTATATTGTTTGAATTTAAATTATGCTACAGATAATTTTGTACAATGTACTATTTATATATGATGCAAAGTATATTTTGATTGTACTTGTGTCATAAAATCTACAATGTTTACAAATATATGATGTATACAAATAAAACAAATAGATTTAAACCCAGTGGAAAGGAGAAAAAGACTGATTAAGATACCCAAGGGAAAACACAGAGAGATTAAGGGGTTGTGACTTCCAAATTCACCTCAACTTACCTTCATTGTTCTGGCCTAATTGATTTTATTTTTCATTGCTCCAGATACAAAACTTTACCTGTATAAGTGTTTGTATTTAGTCATAAAGTTTATAGTGTTATAACTCCAGAAAATTGATGTCCATATAATTTGTGAGTTCAGACTTCAGTACATATAATTCTGATCTCTTGTTAGTAGACTGTAGGAATCGCCAAATACATGTACATGTACAATAAACCAGTTGTGTATAACTGTACAAAAGTTTGTTTATATGAGCAACAAGAAAAACCATAATGTTGGAATCCAACATGAATTTTTATGTAAATCTGTTTACATGAAGTGCTTTCCACTTAATATGACATTGCTTGTTAAAATTATATATATTAAATTAAATATTTCGGTATGTAAGTCTTTATCATAATACTTATAAAAGTAGGAGAGGCTGAGGACTAAAGTAAAGGGTTTCAGTGCACTCTGACATTGATACTCATACTATGGCATGGCATTCTTGTCTGTCTATCTGTCTGTTCAAGCTATCCAAGTTAAACTCTAAGGTTAAAGGATCAAAATTGTTGGTACCCAAAGGAAGGTCTTATCATAAGGAATACACACGTGAAATATGAATGGAATAGTTTTTTTAGTGGGTCAAACTCAAAGGTCAAGGTCAAAATTGTTGGTATGCCAAGAAAGGTCTTGTCACAAGGAATGCACCTGTGAAACACGAAAGCCCTAGCTCTAAATGGTCCAAAGCTTATGGTTAAGGTTATTTTTTTTTTAAATCAAGGCAAACTCTGAGATCAAAGTCAAATATTTTAATACTCAATGAAAGGTCTTGTCACAATGAATACACATATCATACTAATAAGTATTGTTATCTAAAGCTGGATTCAAGGAAATCTTATTTCTCTAAAGCTGTATTATTTTCTTTCCTTTTATAGGGTGCAAATGTCAACTATTATAAGACCTTTTCTAAGACTTCCAAAAACCTTGAATCTTATAAAGATAAATAAAATGAAAATTGTTGCATGAAAAAATTTAAAATAGGTAACAATGCTTATTAGTATGATATGAAAGAAGAAGTGATAAGAAGTGAAGGATAGCACCAACTATTCAAAAATGATGTCTATGGTTAATGTTCGGAAATATTTGGTAAAATTTGGTCAAACTCAAAGGTCAAGGTCACGAGGTCAAATTTGGTGGTACCAAAAGAAAGGTCTTGTCACAAGAATTGTGACAAGGCGAAGCCCGTTTTGCATAAATTATCCCATGTTTCCCACTTTCGTTGACATCCCTAGCATACTATACTAACTACACAGTAATTTCTTATATTTCCAATTCATTGTGAAATAAAATATTGTAGATTTATATTTTAAAAATGTAGACATAGATTAAATAGGCCAAACCTGAGCGACTCAGGTGACCTAAAATCTGTATGTTCTTAAAATTCTTGACTGTAATACTTTTACATCTGTTAGAATTTTGTAACTTTAAAACAATTGTTATGCCCCAGTATTAATCGAAGATTAGAGGGTATATAGTTTTTGCGACCCCTTCAGTCTGTTTGTCAGAAAAAAGTTTAACCTTGCCCATAACTTTGAGTGGTGGGACTATGGATTTCATATTTACAGGTGAATTCCTTGTGACAAGACCTTTCTTTTGGTACCACCAAGTTTGACCTCGTGACCTTGACCTTTGAGTTTGACCAAATTTTACCAAATATTTCCGAACATTAACCATAGACATTATTTTTGAATAGTTGGTGCTATCCTTCACTTCTTATCTCTTCTTATTTCATATCATACTAATAAGCATTGTTATCTATTTTAAATTTTTTCATGCAACAATTTTCATTTTATTCATCTTTATAAGATTCAAGGTTTTTGGAAGTCTTAGAAAAGGTCTTATAACAGTTGACATTTGTACCCTATAAAAGGAAAAAAAAATAATACAGCTTTAGAGAAATAAGATTTCCTTGAATCCAGCCTTAGATAACAATGCTTATTAGTATGATATGAAATAAGAAGTGATTTGTGGTGTCTTGCAATAATAGCGAAAGCCTTTTACACGATGTAATATAGAATACATGACGGAAATAGAAGACAAAAAATACATGTACCTGATACGTATACAAATCATTACAATTTCTGTGAATGCCAAGATACCTATCGTTCTTTAACCTAAAATATATTTGTAGTTAGAAAATGGATTGCTGATATTTCAATTCTCTTTTTCTGCAAAAATATTGGAGATTTTACAATTTTCCCCATATATTATGATTAACTTTAGTCTTTAACTTTAACGAAATACTGTGGATAAATTTACATAACTTTGTGGATTCAGAGACACTTTTATGAGTAGTTTTGATTACTTAACTGCTAATTTTATAATACCTGAGGATCATCTTAAATAGCCGTGTTTGTTACATGTATACATTTTTACATGTATATACGGCAATTTTCTATCTAAGGAATTTGCCAGGACATTAAGCTATACCCTTTTTGCTGTAGTCTGTATGGTGAAAGTGTTTTAAAAAGGGGGGTACACGAGAACTTAATTTTTGAGTTACTACTGAATACGAGACTAATTGTTTTATTGATCCTGATCGTCCTATTTCTCCTGCTTTTGGACAACAAAGCTTCATCTATCAGTTTATTTAATTCTCATTGGATCCTCTTAATGGTTGTATTATACTCAGGTGACCATTAGGACCCTTGGGCCTCCTGTTATTCATGATTTCATTATTTATAATTTAGTTTCTTGAAAAAAAAGTCTTAATCTATTATTTAAAAATTAAAAAAAAATTCAAAGAATCAAAGATATTTATTACTTTCTTACTTAGTACTTGATAGGTTGTTCAAATTTCTATACGTTGAAAATTTAAGACAGGATCTTAAACATCTATCCTAAATTTCGAGATAGTATCAAAACACTACTTTGATTTCAATTTTGTAGGGGGAATATGACCTTTCAGAGGAGGTCTTTTAGTTTTCATTGTCGCAGCATTACTATTTTCAGGTATTAATTAATTCCATGTAACATTCTGAGCAAGAGTTTATTTTTCTGAGATAATGGTTAACAACGTACATTGACATTCTACAAAAGTCCCTCCATATAATTGTCTGGATTCATAACTGCAGTTCGATGGGAATTTTCGCATTAAACAATGCTTGACAAATAATTAAATGAATTATCGAAACAACCTGAGCTTTCAGAAATGACATTGACAGCGAAAGTAATCCCAGAGGCCAAGATTCATTTTCAAAAGCTTTAGTTTTAATGATTCCCAGAGATCCCCCAAACCTCGACTACCTGAGAGTATCAATATTACATAAAATCAAGAAAGGAGGAGGTTTCCATGGAAACTAATCAATATATCAGTGGTAAATGAGAACAGGTAAGGTTTTTTTTTTATTTTACAGAGCTGCCATTGGCTCTGAGTAAAGCAGGGAGACATGCCATCAGACATGATGAGTACAGGTATCGTCTGCCAGTGACGCAGAAAGTCATTCACAGCACGAGGGGTGAACGCCAGAAGAAATCTTCTTCGAGCGGAAGTTCAGAAGGCCACGAATCAAATGAAACCTTTCTCAGACTTAATAACTACAGAATCAAGACAGAAAATCCCTTCATATCTTCTGTTCAATACTGTCCAAACTCTAGCATAGGTCGACTGATCGTTGACCAAGTGTTTTATACATATTAGCTGCGTGATGAAGACGTCACTCGGAGTCACAGATTTGTCCCTAATGCGCATTGTGTTTCAGAAAATATGGAAAAATCGTCCCAGGGACCAGTGAGATTCAACCAAACAGTCTGCTATTTGAGGAGCGTGTCTATGTGAACACTTCTATCTCACCATATTTTTTTTTCATCACCAAATTCTGAAATGACATGTCAAGTGCTTTTTGCAGCCATTGAGGATCGAGTTGCCTTTCGGGGAGGAATATTCCCTGCTCTTACGTTGAAAGCTAATGGTTTGTATGGCGGTGATCTTATTTTCATCTACAAACTAGGAGAGATAAATTTGTCTTTAAGCTGTAGGATCATCGGGAACTTCATTGCTTTAGATCCAAACGACTATTAGGAAAATAGCTTGTGTATGCCAAGACAACGGGATTTGAAGAAACGAATTTGGAATTTAAAGATACTTTTTTTAAAACCGTACGCGAAGAGAAGAAACGAATTTGGAATTTAAAGATACTTTTTTTTTAAAACCGTACGCGAAGATTCCACTGTATATTTTATAAGGCTGTCGAGTTGTTTTCAATTGAACGATTTACAATGGAATGTTTAAGACTAAGTGATTAGCTGTTGGATTTTATTATTATTCTTGTGAACCACATTTCAATAAAGTTTCTACGGAATATGTAGCCAACTACACGGCGATGAAAAATCCGGAGAAGGCCCAGGCCATGCTTCTGGAGAATTTAAGGATTATCTCCGAACACAGGCGTCGTTCTCTAGCCACTGACCACTACAGGTAAGGCAATTTTCCTTTCTGACCACTACAGCCTACAGGTAAGGCAATTTTCGTTTCTGACCACTACAGGTAAGGCAATTTTTGTTTCTGACCACTAGGGTAAGGCAATTTTCGTTTCTGACCACTACAGGTAAGGCAATTTTTGTTTCTGGCCACTAGGGTAAGGCAATATTCTTTTCTGACCACTACAGGTAAGGCAATTTCGTTTCTGACCACTACAGGTAAGGCAATTTTTGTTTCTGACCATTACAGGTAAGGCAATTTTCATTTCTGACCACTAGGGTAAGGCAATTTTCGTTTCTGACCACTACAGGTAAGACAGTTTTCGTTTCTGACCACTAGGGTGAGGTAATTTTCATTTCTGACCACTACAGGTAAGACAATTTTCGTTTCGGACCACTATAGGTATGACAATTTTTGTTTCTGACCACTACAGGTAAGGCAATTTTCGTTTCTGACCACTAGGGTAAGGCAATTTTAGTTTCTGACCACTACAGGTAAGACAATTTTCGGGTCTGACCACTAGGGTAAGGCAGTTTCGTTTCTGACCACTACAGGTAAGGTAATTTTCGTTTAGAACTGACCACTATAGGTAAGGCAATTTTCGTTTCTGGTCACTACAGGTAAGACAATTTTCGTTTAGAACTGACCACTATAGGTAAGGCAATTTTCGTTTCTGGTCACTACAGGTAAGACAATATTCGTTTAGAACTGACCACTATAGGTAAGGCAATTTTCGTTTCTGGTCACTACAGGTAAGACAATATTCGTTTAGAACTGACCACTATAGGTAAGGCAATTTTCGTTTCTGGTCACTACAGGTAAGACAATATTCGTTTAGAACTGACCACTACAGGTAAGGCAATTTTCGTTTCTGACCACTACAGGTAAGGCAATTTTCGTTTCTGGTCACTACAGGTA